ACAACTGCACTTCTGGGCCCTTCTGGCGCCCTTTTTCTGTTAATTTGTTTTCATCTGTTTTATCAAGTCATCACGTACTCGACTTTGTCATCACGTACTCGACTTTGTCATCACGAACTCGACTTTGTCATCACGAACTCTGAATGAATATACAGTGAATTTAATACTTTTATAACATTTATTTAATGGCATTAACCTTGAGCAATCGCTAACAATAATGCGGAAAACGTCGCCGCACTATTAAATCACAGCAACCTAACACAATACCTAGATAGTTAAAGAACCTATCACATACTACATGCGTAAGAAGGTCGTTCAGGCCGCACTTGCAACAACGCAAAGTGAGTGGTGCGAGTACATAATCGATTAGCAGTTAGATGCACATCCTGAAACGAGTTTTTTTTACCTTGATTGTCTGAAGCAATGATGTAAAAGTCCTCGCGTTGGATATTTTGTAACGAATTGAATTTCAGAGACCACTTTACGGACAGGAAGACAACAAAATATAATAAAACAATGTTGTGACAAACGTCACTTTTGACTTCATTAGAGATTCACACGCATATTTTGGATTCAGTTTTCTGGATGGTCATGATGTATTAAAAATGCCATGTTCCTTAAAGTATCAGGGGCTCTCTTTGGATAGGTTAGTAAAGGCTACAATAAAGACACAACTCGTAAAATGAAGTTTTGAGGTAAACGAGAGTAGTTTTCGGTGGTAGTTTTCGGAAGTGAGGTATAAACATTAACTAAAAGCTTTACAGGAGTGTTATTAATTATTACAACATGAAATGTTACAAATAACGGCTCTAATTCAATATTGGTATTTTTCGAGGTGTGCCAGTTTTGCAGCTTTGGAACAATATGTTGGAAAATATATTTAATTCGTAAGATTATGGGTTGTGAAATCTCCTTCGATCCATGCATTCACCTGAATGTTCTTACCATCTGAACTTAAGCACTGAAGGTACGCAGAGGCGCGACCAGCTAGCACAGCCTCAATAGCACAATCACAAGAAATCTACTAAGATAATTATATTACTCATTTCTTACTAATTTATTACCTCAAACTTAATACTTTACTGTTGCCGTTTGTTAGATAAACACATTGTGCTGTTTTGAAGTGAAGCTGACACAATCAAATTTAAGAAACGAACACAGACAAATCAAACTAATAGAAATATTCAGTACCCATTTTCTATACATTACCCAACATTTAAATATTTAGTATTGCCGTTTATTAAATAAATACATTTGTGCTCGCTTGATAGTGAAGATGACCCAACCATTTTACGAAATGACCAAAATCGCAACTCAGTAGGAATATTTAGAATTCATTTATTACAATTTTTTATCCAAAAAAATAAATTTTTGCTTTCTTACTCATTCTAACATAAGAAGAAAACTTATTGTAAACGAGCGCCGGAAAATTTAGACACAAAATCTCTTATTGCCGGGGCTCTGGTAAGGAAAAAGTGGATAAATCAAGTTGCTAAATAAAAAAAAATTATCTAAGACGTGATGTAGATAGAATCCATGTTTTGTGGGTCCTTGACTTCAGACGTAGACCTTGTGACTTCAGACGTAGGTAGAAGATGGTGTTGCAAACGCCTTTCTTTAGCTGGACATTTTACTCAATATTTACTCTTAATTAAGCCACTCTCAATACTACTGGTACTTGTTTGGAGAGCAGGCTGTGTGGACCCGAGGGCTGACATGAATAGTAAATGACCGGATCCACACTAGACCTGAGGCTTGAACCCAGATCCTTCTGCTTAGGAAATGAATGCTCTAGCCACGGCTCTGCTGTAGTTTAATATGCATTCATATATATGATGAGCTTGTCATCTGTTTTTCACATTATTTTTTATTACTCTGTGCATCGCATATGCACTTAGTATGTGCATCTGTTTCCCAATCTTTGAAACACGCCACACATATCACAGATTTGCATGTCAAAGAATTGCAATACAATAGAACCATTACGCCTTGTACCAAAACACACACACGGACATCATAAGTGGGGGAAATATAAAACAAATGTCAACCAAACCTGAACAATTATACATAAATATAAAATAAATAATGTTTTAGAAAAATATTGGCACAATTAAAATGAAAAAACACTCAGCGCTATTGAGAGCTTCATAAAACAAAACCCCACAGTAAAATGGAAACACTTCCCGGTTGAAGAATAGTTGCAGTACTTGTGGACGGAGTGAACCTCTACCATCTACTCTATTTCGCCTCTCTTGCAGCTCTGAGAAGAACAATGGGAATTTACAAATACAGGAACGTGTGAATCATTTCCTTTTTGCGCGCTACGTATAAAAGTCATTTCGTTATCGCGTAGTAAACACATATTAGGAGGAAGACGAGGATTGAGTTTACAGGAAAGCGAAAATAGTGAAGTTGAAATAAACTATGAATCATGGTTTTTGTAATCTTACTAGAAAAACAGTTGCCAATCAAACACTTCCACTGTATGCCATTACCTTAAATACTATGTCATCAAATAGCAGTCATGCAGTCTTAACTGTAATACTTATCATACAATGCAATTCAATATTACGACTCAATATGGTACCTTTGATGCATTCGATGAGTACAAACATTTTCTTCAGTGAAAACATTTTCTATTACCAATTGCACAATTTAAATTGTTGCTTAATTTATTTATAAATAAATAATCTGATAAAAGTCTTATATATGTTGTAAAGTCCTTTTACTGTCTAGCATTCTCTGCGATAATAATTGCACAATGTAATTCAATGCCACTTCTATTACAGCCCTATGAAAGAATTGTCACGTGAAGTGCGAGATTCTTTCTTAACTGTGAGAATGCGGAAGTCAGTCCAAGGCTAAGTCTGAGAAAAATAACTTTTTTGTATTTTTAATAAGAATCTCAATATATCAGCTTTTACAGCTACTGTCCACTCGTACTACACTATTATCGAGAAGGTATCGTAGCGACATTATACTTCGTTCGGAGACAAAACGATTGATTACACAGCCACACAAAAATTGTGATGTCTGGGGATCAGACCTGTTTTCTACATGTTTTTGGGGGCGCTAAATCCGAATCTAGAGACGATTTTACTCCTTCACATCAGGTGTTTGACATAACCTCAAAAAATATTTACAATATATTAAATTTCTAGCCGAGGGGGTCAGAACATGTATCATATACTTTTTGGAGTTGCTGAAATCGAATTTGAAGTCCCTTTAACTTCATCACATCAGATTTTTCACATAACATGAAAAAAATTTTCTCTCTCCTTGGAGAGAAGGCTATGGATCTGGCGCGAACGATATAAGCAATCTGTCATACAATAACGTGATGTCTGTTGTCGAGTCAGAGGCCAATGCTACCTTCTCTATCAATTAAAATTGATCTGAATTAAAAAATCGGATGTGATGAATTTTTTAAAGTTTGTATGTTATTCATTCCAGGCCCGCAACTGCTAAGATCATTTGTCCCGTTAGCGTATTTAATGTTTGTTTCGCGGAAGGGGGCGGTGATTTTTCCCCACTGGACGAGTGTCAAAAATCCTGCCACCATCCAGATAAACTCTAGGACCTGAGGAGGAACTGCAGTAACTTCAATTGATACCCTGACAAACCGAGTTCAGGTGCAACCATTCCCAGCAACAGCCGTAAAATAATAAAAGCAATATTCCTACATTCGTATCATGACTTCCCCCTTTCTACTTCTCCCTAGAGCTCTCTCAGAAGCATCTACGTCTTGATAACGCTCTCACTAATGCAGATTTGGCCCGTCTGGGTTGTCACAGCTTGCTCGTCAATAAAACCTCACAGAAATGATGTCAACGACTCTCAACAATCACGAGCACTAAAAAATTACAAAACGCCGCTACAATGAAATAACGTTAAAAGAAAATGGTTTATTGGAGTAGATAACAAATCGATTAACACGTATTCGATTTTGGTCAGTCTAGTAAAAGCTTCTCCTGTAAAACTTAAGAATTTTAACCTGTGTAAGCGTACGATACGATACCAAATGTATGTGCCCTGCACCCAGTTTGAACAACTATAAATATGCCACAACACATTTTTAATAAGCAAATGCCCAAAGATATGTAGTTGTCAATCTTCCAATTCATAGACCGTCTCTTTGAAAGGGTCTCCTCGAAACAACCGAGTCTTCCTACCCAAAACGTAGGTTTGTACATCCTGTGCATTTGATCCTCTATAAACGAGAATCCACTCCAGACTCTAAGAATAATGAAGTCCCTAGTCACATCACCAAGTCCATAATTCCTATAACTCTGAAGACTTTCATAGCAAAATTTCTAATAACTCCAAAACAACCAGTACTGCATGATGCTTAACAAAGATCTCAGAGGGGACAGCATTCCAATGAGAAAAACTAGAACATAGGAACAGTTTATGCTGATTCTAAATGATTGCATATGATGATATATTTTTTCTATGGCTTTTTCCAGCCTAAATCTGGTTACCCATAACTTCCCTATTAGACGCATTTCGATAGAAAAACTGGCCACCAACGCACTTATGGGGTCCTCCGACCTGGGGTCTGCAGAACGCGGTGCCCTCCGCGACAACACAGCGACGAGGGACAAACAATCGGGCGGGACACGAACCCGCGACCCTTCGGACCGAAATGCTGGCCGTAGTGGCCCGACCTGTCATAGCCATTGTGATATCAAGAACGAAGTGTACAAGTTTGAAATATTTTTATTTAACTTACAATTGTTTACGTACGTTCCGCAGAGTGACTCGGAAGTTATTGTATAAGCATTGTAATTTGAATTAGTCGATTTTCCAGGTCACGTCACTAGGTTCGCTAGTGGGCAGCTGACTGCCTTTGTGGTATGAGAAAGGTTCAAAGTGTCCTTTATTGTCTACGTAGTATTTGATGATAGGGTATATGCTGATACTGTACGATTGTTTCTGCAAATCCTGTGAAGTGGTTAATTCCACAGAGTAAGGAAAAGAACAAAGAAACAAAAACTCACGCGCCGTCGGTGGAGGGGGCGGTGGGCGAAGTGGAGGCGGATTTGCGTTCCGCGGCGTTGGCGGTGGCGGCGGCGGCGGTCGCGGCGGTGGCGGCGGCGGCTGCGGCGGCACGTGTAAGAGCGGCGGCGGCGGCGGCGCACACGGCGGTGGAGGCCTGGGACGAGAGACGGGGAGTGAAGGGCAGTTTACGCCGCTTTGCCGGCCAAGTCGGCGGAAGACTTGGCCCGCACGACGCCCTGGGCAATAACGGAGACGCGCTGCCCTCACTAAAGGCAGCGAGGGACACGAGCGCTCGCGAGCCACGCTTGTGCCGGAAGCGAATCTGTCGCCGCCACTGCATCGTTCTCGCAACACGTCGCGTTGTGAGAACGATAGGGAGGCGGCAGATTTACAGCTGCCTCAAAGTAGGCTTGATAGCCGACTTGTTTGTGAAGTGTATTTTAATATACTCGTTCGTTGGAGCATATTTTACACCATACAATTTCTCGTAAATTTTTTCTACTTATACACGGAATTTCAAAAGTAGGGATCGAAATTGATATGTTCACAAATTTGTCACGTAAGGGGGGGTATTTTGTACTTTGTCACCTGAGGCTCGATTTTCTTTTTCGTCTATCTCCGAATCTATTAGTCTGATTGGATTCTAATTTTTACTTTTCAATTTCTCGTAAAGCATTCTACCTATACACTGAATTTCAGTAGTTAGCGCCGAAATTAATATTTTTTCAAATTTGACACGTAATGGGGGGGCGGGTAAAAGTGCCAAGGTGAATCATTTGCAAATTGTAAGCCTAGAAGCGAAAATGTTGGGCGGAGTTTAATCCGGTCGTTCAATAATCTTGAATGACATCGTACACGTAAACAATATGCAGATTTTTAGAACCCTTGCTTCCTTATTACACTCATAGATTGTTTTTTGTATCATATTTTAGGGGTTACTACACTTGACATTAATACAAAATTGTACATCGCACATTTAAATTTAATTCAAAATAGCCGAAGTACGTCATGAACTTCTCAAAATTTTCTTTGATTCATTATGTTTTTATTCACAAAACTTATGACTTCACGCCAATATGACAAATATTATATTCACTTTCTCACCATTACTTCATAAGAAGTTAAAGTATTGTAATACTACGGAGGAAAACGGGGAATTTTCGATAGAAAAACCCTTGTTGCCAGTCCCTGATAACGAACAAATGGACAAATCTAGTCCCCGCGTACATAGCGATTTAGTCCTCTTTGCTAAAACGCCGGAACCTCATCCCATATGTAATGTATAGATTGAATTTTCCAAAATTGGATACTCTCCGACGTTTAGTTTTGTAAATAATTACCATTGAACTTTGGACTACGCGCTTGTGCTCGGGTAACATGGGTTCCGGCAAGTGAGAGCGGCTTCACGTCGAGTTTGGGCTCTCCACTACTCTGGAAAACTCAATTGCTAATTCTACTCGTTAAACCGCGGGAGCTAGCACAAGGCAAATAGTGCGCGAGGTAACTCGCATGACAGTCCCTCGTCTGGCGAAAAATTCACTTGGATAGATTACGATTTTTCAATTTTCAGCGTGTGCAGCATTTGCACAGTAGACATTGCTAACGTTGGTTTAAATTCTCTAATCATTTCCTGTGCAAATGCAAAAACAAACGGGAATTTCGTTCTTTGGGCAGATGAAGCATGTTTTACAAGAACCGGCACAATTTGCATGTGAAGGCCGAGCAAAATCCGCATGTTGCACGTAGTGTAGTTGAAGAGTTGATGACCTTCTTTGGCGCATTGAATGCGTGGTGGCAGAAACAAAGGTGGCACAAGACGCAAAGTTGCGTGCGTCGCAGAGCCCGTGCGGCACAGATGCGTTCACGCAGGAGAAGACCATTTTGAGCACTTGAAGAGCACCCTTTACGCGATGAGAAAATGCGAGCTTTTTGGCTGTATATCAAATACGATAAACTAGCCTAAAAAACTCAAATAGTTATTTTTCACTCCCCTTTCGTACTCACTAGATAAGTAATCAGTAATAGCAACCGGGAACAATATTTAAAGTACTAATTGGGATACTTTTGTTGCAAATTACGATCATCGACAAACAACGTTTCTTTTTAAAAATTTTCAATAGAGTTTACACTATTTCCTTTTGCATTCATGGATAACTCATGTACTATATCACCGGATACTGTGTGAGCAACGAGGACTGAATCACCTGGATGATAAATTACTTCCCCTGTCACGTAGTGTAGCCAGATTCCACGATTTGTGGGACCGAAAAATCGATTGACTGCAAAAACGTCTGCCTGCCCGCGCAAGCGCGTATTATATCTAAATAAGTAAAAATGCAAAAAAGGGGGTGGCGTGCGGAGTACCTGGGAGCAGGTGAGCTGCGCGAGCGCGTGCCCGGAGGCGACGGCGCCGTCGGAGGCCGCCGAGGCGGTGGACGCCGTCGCGCGCAGCTGCTGCTGTTGCTCCGAGCCGGCGCCGGCGCCGGGGGGCGTGCCCGTGGCCGTGGCCGAGGCCTTGCGCGTGGTGGCCAGCGCCGCCTCCGAGCTCCGGCTGGCAGCTCGCGCAGCGCCTGCGACGTTCGGGCCAAGCCGCGGCGGCGCTGGCGAGGTGTACCACCGGCGGCTGCGACGCGGAACGCTCCCGCCCGCCGGCCGCCTGCGGCCGCCCAGCGGCCCGCCGCCTCCATGGAGGCGCGGTATGTGGCGCGTGCGTCCCGCCGTCCGCGTACATCGCGCAGCTAGATCCGGACCTGCGGCATTGCAACGACCTGCGAACAACACGACCATTACAACAATACAACCAATAATAATAAAAAATAATAATTAAATATCAATAATGATACATCGATCATGAGATATAGCTCGTGGCTTCGCGACCAGAGATCATGTGGGTCGATTGGCTGTCGGGTGTACGCCGGTAAGGCTGAGTTGCGACGTTTCGACATCCCTGTCGTGGTCTTCCTCATATGCCGCCAGCTCACTTCGAATACAGGAGCCCTGCATGGAAGACCACGATGATGGTTGCGCACCACGTCGGCAACTCAGCCTTCGACGCGGCGTCACCCGGACAGCCCAGATCACCCACATGATCATGATCATGATAAAGTCGGCCCCGTGGCGCAGACTGTTAAGTAGCCGAGGAGGCTGCAGGTTGGAGTCCTGCGTAGACATGGTCGTATTTGTGGATGTCCCTGTACCGCGTATCATCATCCTATCACCTTCATAATTTACACTTCAAGGCGTAACAACCTTGACGTACTGAGGAATTCAACTGAAAAGCAGATCCTGGAGGAATTACACACGTTAATCGTGTAAGTGGTCAGTCATGGTCTGTACGCCAATAATATAATAATAATAATAATAATAATAATAATAATAATAATAATAATAATAATAGTACAATAATTAATCATCCAAGAGCACTCCCAGTTCTGATATCAACAAGAATGTTGAAAGTAAATAGTACATTACAAATTATATAAAATATTATACTATAAATACTTATAATTTTCTTCTGCCGATACTCGCGGTACTTGTATTCTTGTACAATATTTCCAAAGACAAATTAATTATATATGTATATTTGTAAATATTATTTTTAAACAATATCACTATAAAAATTTATTAAATATATTTTTAAAATTCGTAAATAAATATTGTTGAAACAGTGTTACAGGTACGCTATCCCAATAACGTATCGTTTTATTCACAAATAAAACCTTTCCTGCATGTGTTTGTTGCTTTTTCTCCTGAATTTTATATTTGTGGTCAGTTTTGCCAGTGTACGATGTCTTTTCTAGCCTTCTTCAAATTTATTTCCTTAACTTCCCATCCCTTAACAATTTCTATAATAAAGTGATAACAAACGTCAGTTTGTGTGTCATTGATTTCTTCATCCGTGTTATCTACAGGAGAAAAGACGAATGCAAAGTAAGCATTAAATAATTCCGATTTTTCTTCATCGCTAAATATTAATGATTCAGTGTTTCTTCGCCAGTTGAGAGTACGCTCAAAGAATGAGAAAGTGCTCAGAGATTGAGCAATTGCTCACCCACTTTATTCATACGAAATTGAGAAGGATCTCCGAAACTCGGAGCAAAGAGTAATTGCTTACTTTTATTCATACCACTCAAAGTAACACTTGTTTTATTCATAACCAGATAAAAATGTGCTAGGGGCGTGAGACGTTATGCTATTGACAGATTGGGTGTGGTAAAAATGTTTCGAAATCCCTGTATACAAGCTCCATAATGAAAGATCAGTATCATATTTGTCTTACACGGATAACCTTCAAGTGTTTTTTAGAATGAAGCGATTCTCTCCCAAATGCTGTCGGGAATACTTTTAGCAATATCATCTGCATGAAGTTTGGTCTTGACGACTATTAAAATGTCAATTTAAAGAGCGGCAAAACGAAAACGTCAGATATCATTGAAGTTGATGTGCACACTGTGTATGAAGATCTTGAGACAGGTAAATCTTACAAATATCTGGGCATTGAAGTATGTCAGAACATCTCGAACGACCCAATGAAAGAGAGAAGTAGCAAGAAATATTACAGAAAAGTGAGACGCGTGTATACTGCAGTGCGCTGTGAACTCCAGAAATGCAATATCTGCAATAGGCAGTTTGGCGTTTCCTGCAACCGAATGCATTTTCGGACTTGTGGGCTGAACTGAGCAAGACATTCGAATCATGGATCAAAAAAACAAACAACTGCTTACAATACTTCACGTCACCCACTCTCGAGCTGATGTACATAGAGTTGTAGTTAATAATAATAATAATAATAATAATAATAATAATAATAATAATAATAATAATAATAGTGTCTATATTTCCGGCGAGGCTCAGACAAGGCCATAAGGCCTACTCTTCCGCCTAACCACTTAAATACCTTTACCTATACATTATTGTATATTGGGTTCGGGCAAAAGAATGGTAACTGACGTTTCCCGTTACATCGAAAAGAGAACCGATCTGCACGAACTGCTACTTGGCGTGGGCAGCGCAAGTATTGTGCGTTGTCCT